TGTTACCAGTGACATACACAGTAGGTGCTGTCACCATGTTACTAAGGGAGACAGAGCTGCTGGCACCCACACTGGAGGTGATGGGGCTCGGAGCACCCTGGCTGTTGCCATGGGTGCCCATGTGGCCCTGGAGCTGGGTGGGTGTCTTGCAGTGGACACCGCACAAGTGGCAGACGAGTATGCCACCAGAGCCTGAACCGCCAAAGCCCCCCGGACTGTCCTTCCACTCCTGGCCATGGTGCTTCTGGGCATGGACACGAAGGTATGTCAGTGTGGTGAAGCCTGATGAAGAGACGGTAGGAAAGAGTGAAAATTACATATTACGAGAAGTATAGATGTTAGAGCAAAGTTCATTCAGCACTAAGCCAAAATAACTCGCATGTAAACCCGCAAATTATTTTTTGAAGTTGTTATGGCTTATTAGCAGACAGTTGCCTATTTCAACATCCAGCAGAAATGGAGCAACATTAGCATTCATTTGGAGTTGATAATTATAAATGTTACAGTCAAATATTCACTCTCCTTTTAGCTCTGTTATGGTCTTGACCAACTCCTGAGGGAAATACCTGACTCTTTAGCTGCTAAATGCTCCTCTATGTTCACCATCTGGTCGCTAACTGTGTGTGTCTGTTTGATGCTGGACAGTTAGCGGGCAGTGGGTTTATCAGAACTTTTTCAATAAGAACAGCTGCCACTGGAAGCAGGTTGCTACTCCAAAGTTGCAGAGGATTTAACGATAAAAAGGCTGCTAGGAAAGACAGAGAGAGACAGGAGCCTGATGAATCAAGGATATGCCATGACTTATAAGACTGAACCAGGAAGCCAAATGTGATTGTCCACATCATCGTTTTCAAAGTCCTCCGTTTTCGCGTGTCCGCACTAACAGAGTTTTAAAATGAAAACAGGGTCTGCAGCGTTTTTCAGGCTTCTCCGTAGGTGTTCAGATTTGCCATTTTAGTGTGGATGGCAGGTGTTAACTTAGCAAGAGTGCTGCGTTTTAAAACAGAAACATAGTAGTTTGAATGTAGCCTATGAGAAGCTCTATTCACATTACATGTAGTCACGCTAACAATTACTAATGTTAAAATATTGATGATATCCGCTTTAATGTAAATGAATCAAAGCATCTGTGCTTACTGCGGTTGCAGAGATGGCAGGCGTGGTGCTGTGACTGGTTGTGCACCCTCATGTGATCTGTGATGTAAGCAGCAGACAGGAGCTTTCCACAGATGTGGCAGGGGACTTTCTCCTCATGGCGAATCATATGCGCACGCAAACGATCCTTTGTGGCAAAGCTGGACTCGCAGGTCTGAAAAAAGACAGAATCGATATGTGATTTGAGACAAATGTATAAAAGTAAAATCCTTTGCACATGTTGTGCTCTTTTAACGGTTACCTTTCACCATTTGAAAACCTTGAAAATGTGTGCACAAAAAGCTATTCCAATAATATCAGGCTTTGTGCTGCTGCATGTAAACACAACAATTACAGTGCAATTACAACAAGATCCCTGCTGTGTATTCTGTGATTCAAAAAGGCATGTACTTGATCCAGATCAGTTCCCAATACTCTCAGTGTTCATTTACTCATGTCATGATATCTGTATGAGGCAGTTGACAACAGATAAACACGCAGAAATTTAAAAGACCTCAACCTTAACTCATCTGGAACACTCTGCATGTAAACATTGCTCGTTGTTGACATCGATGGATTCAAAAGAGATGCTGTGTACAGCTGCTCGGTGAGGGCAAACATGACATACCGGGCATTTGAAGGGTCGCTCTGAGGAGTGCACCTGTCTGACGTGACTGTTGAGATGGTCGGGCCTTGGGAACAAAAAGAGAGTCAGCATATTAGGACTGTTACAGCTTTGTGTGTTCACACTCAAATTAAAGGACCCTATGTGGTCTTTAATCATGGATACAGAGCTAGGGTTAGTTTGTTTAGCTTCTGGTCCCAGTCTAGAAATAGTCATGTACATAATAAATGTGTTAAAAGGCAAATTGGAATTTTTACAATTTCATTTTTGTACAGATTAAATATATGAGATAGAATATGATAATAAGTGAGCTTTAGAGGTGCTGGTAGGTGAATTTTTCATTAGGCTAGCTGACTCTGTGTTTTACTATTCAACTAACTCCATCCTGAGAGAGATGTTATTAGACTTAAACTGTTGTGTCACCTGGAGAAAGCCTTGCCACAGTGGGGGCAGACGTAGGGTTTTTCCACACCACCCTGGTGGGAGCGCACATGGTGGCTCATGCGGTCCTTCCTCTTGAAGCGCTGCTGGCAGATGGGGCAGGAGAACGGCTTCTCATCTGAGTGAGACAGGCGGTGGCGGTTAAGATGGTAAACGTCCCGGAAAGCTTTTCCACAGGTCTCGCAGGCGTGGTTCTTCCTCACCGGATTCGGGTTGGGATTTGTGGGCCGCTGAGGCGAAACAGACAAGCACATAAACACACTACAGAGTTTATACGGTACGCATTTTCTGTGCAGAGTTATATACTCAAAAAATATATTCAGTCACTATTTTAACATTTTTATATCTATTTTTGAAACCATGCAATGCATACATATATTTTTGCTTGATTTGTACCAAAGTTGTATGTCATCACTTGTGCAAAACATTTCTGACAGTTGATTGGCGGGTTAGATTAACTTCTCACTGAATTTTAAGTCTTTATCTGCTTTCACACTGTTTGTGTTACAGAGAACATGCAGGGGAGCGTGGGGGGCTTCTAGCACGGTGTTTCTCAAACGGTGGACCAGTGCCAAACTTTTTTACTGGTCCCTGAATTGATTGACATTTTGTCAAATTTAACACACAGGAGAGTTTCAGTCTAATTCGAAGCATGTGAGACACAGTAACTGCCTGCAAGTCCCAAACAGCAAAAGAAAGTGGCTTAACCGTCCCGTTGGCCAGGGAGCTTAAGAAACAACATGCTTGAAGGTTTGGGGTTGACGACAGCCATCTCCACAAGGCCCTGACCCACCTGTACTGTCGCCCCTGTGGCCATGACGACAGCAGCAGGAGGCGGAACATGGGGGTTAACACTAGCCATTACGTTTGGCATGGCAACCCCTTCACCATCCTGACTACCCAGGTGAGGCTGCTGGACCCCCGCCAGCACGCCGGGAGGGGCGAGAGGGGTAGGTGCGGAGAGGTGTAGCAGGGAGAGGGGAACAGTGGGCCTCTCCACCCTCCCTCCGGCCCCCACCGCCATCGCCGACGGGGCCGCCACCGCCACCACCGCCACCTGACCGGCCTCCTTTGCCCCCTCCGCCTGCTCTCTGGCCCTGTCCTTCATGCGTACCCCAGTGTGGACCGACTGGTGCCGCCGCAGGTTGTAGTTGTTCTTGAACTGCTTGTTGCAGATGGCACAGATGTGGGGCATGCGGGCCGGCCGAGACACTGGCTTCACTGGACCACAGGCAGGTGGGAGAAAACATGGAAAGAGAGAAAATTTTAATTTCAAAGAAGCTGATTTAGTATTTTCAAATACGCATTTATAACAACATTTCAGGCAGATTAGGTCAACAGTAATATGACTGTTAATGACTGATTATGAGTCAGTAAACGTTGACTGAGCTACGCAACAATAAGGAAAGTGAAGTGAACCTCTGTCAGACATGTACTTCCCAGTCAACCCTGTTTTGGTAGTTTGCAGGTGAAAATCTATCTAAGCGGTTCTGCTGAAACAATCAGCAAAACAACTGATTGGTTGATCGATCAACTGTTATTTACCAAGCAAAAATGCAAAACATCCATTGGATTCAGCTTTTCAAAAAAATGCCGCTTTCACCACTAACTGATTATCTTTTGGGTTTTAGACTGTTGGTTGGACAAACCAAGCAATTTGAAGATGTCTAGGACTGTGGGACGTTGTGATGGGCACTTTCCACAACTTTTTTTTACATTTTATAGATTAAGTAGCTAACTGGTTAATGACTAGAATAATCAAAAATAAACATATGAAGGGCTGCAACACAATTTCTTAATCAATCAATCAACAGTTAATGTTAATTAATAAAAAAAATTAAAATCATATTACTGATTGTTTCAGCTCTAATCACAAGGAGCAGCCTCAGTTTAGTTGAAAGTTCCTTAAATGTCATCTTGTGTCTTCAATTTATTTCAAAAATTTTATTTTTAAATGTGTGGCGAAGTAAAAGTGATTACAGCATCGTTATTAGGGCTCACTAAATGTTATCATACAACCTTTATCAAACAAATAACTAGTGAGAAACAATTTGAGCAACAGGATCATTTTGAGTCAACCTAAATTCTTAGATCCAAATTGATTTTATAGAATTCAAGCAAAAATGAAGATTTTGAATATTGGGCACTACTGAAAATGTCTAAAAGGGAAATTCAGAACAGGTAAAATCAGACAGTTTTCAAAGTGAAATATTTTGGTACTATTTACATTTCTACATTAAGTATTCAGTAGTGATTGATATCCACTATTATGTATGCTTATAATAAACCAAATCGTTATTCCATGTGTCCTGTCTTTTTGCCTACAAATCACCAAAAAAAGTTAACTGTTATGTAATTTGAACTGAACAGCTCTACAGGTGCAGAGTGCAGCGATGTGTGCCTCACCAGGCAGGGGATCCTCACTAAGAGCAGCGGTGTCCACAGTGGAAGGAGGCTGTGCTATGTGCTCTGTGGGTGGGGTTTGGGGAGAGCTCGTGTGCACGGGCATGAGCTCTGATTGGAGGCTCCCCTCCACTTGGTTTTGGGTGGGAGCATTCTGGAGAAGCAAGTAGAAAGGCCATCACCAAAGGTAAACACAAGTCAGAGCATTATCTTGACAGTGCTACGTTGTAATACAAGATGAGAGGGCTGTAGGACTGCTGGGCACACGCACACACAAACACACACACTGAGTGGCCCGTGTGAGAAAATGAAAAAGAGGCCAGTCATGCCTGCTCAACAAGCCTACCTGGAAGAGAAAATTGCTCCAAGCAGCGTCCATTTTGCGCCACAGCGAGGGAGATTATAAAGTCAGCTCCTGATTGTGATCGAGGAGAGCAGCCTTTGCATGGCTTTGATCGGCCCACCGGTGATCGAGGCGCAAACAGTCGCCTGTGCTGCAGCGGAAACGACGGGCTTCTGGATTCGCGTGAAAAACGTGAATAAAGTCGTCTGCAAAAATATGTTTTTCTCATTGAGGTAGCCTAATGCTGTCAATTAAAATGCACGCAGCTGTTGACTAACGCAGGCTGCAGCACACAGGCAGTGGTGGAGCAGGCCAGGTCCAATAACGGCCTGTTTTCTCTTTCACTTTGGCTTCTAACTTTAATTCATCAAACACTAAAACTCACTGAAACGCAATATCACACAACAAAACTGCTTCCAAAAAAAAGCACCCCCCCCAAAAAATTCGGATTTCAGACTATTACATGTTAAGCAATCAACATAAACCACTCTACGTGAAATAGATGAATTTTTACGCAAGAGAACAAATATGGGTTACAACACACGTATCTGGCAGCACAGCAGGTCATGCTTTGTTTTTAATTTATGAATCTATTTTTCCGATTTCCCCCAATAGGCCAATCGGGTGTTTGTCGAAGCCTCGTTGTTGGATTCAAGCCCTGACCCCGGCGAGCGGCGCTCTCGCCGGGCCGCAGCCTATCGCTCCACCTCGGCCGTTCAGCTGCGAGGATGTCATCTTTCTTTTTTTATCGCCCGCACTCCCTCCTCCCTCCCTGTCTCTTTCTTCCTTTTCTTTTTTAATTCCTCTTTCTTCTCCCCCTCCTCTCCTTTTCTCGCACCGCTATGTCCCACTTGCTCTTAAAGGGATAGGGTTTCCTCTTTAGACACCCCCCTCTCATTTCCGTCTCCCTCGGCGGAGCCTGTCCTCGCCCCTTCCTTCCTGGAGTTTTTTCGGCCGACGCAAAATGGTCCTACGGTGTTTCCCCCGCCTTCCTCGGGCCAGCTGGAACAGATCTCCTGCACCGCAGAAAACAGCCGGAATGACTTTCCATTAACAGCACAGATGACAGACGCACCTTAAAGGGAGGTGCGCACAGATCCTCCCAGTCGGCCTACAACAATGATGTCAGAGTCACACACACAGGACGAAAAGCAGCTCAGGATACACACACACACACACCATAGATGCGAGTCAGCATTGCATAAATACAGATAAATTGTGTTTAGGGAAAAGTAAGTAGTGAGAATCTATAATGGTAACCTTGAGCTGAAATGATTATTCGATTAGTCAACACAAACGAAATGATAATTAGTTACTTAAATTTGACTAATTGTGATTATTAGTTTATTTTTCTATGATTGCAACATGATTATCCAGTTTTGACCCGTTAGTCAAAAATAAGACATTTTAATATGTCAACATGCACTTCTCCACCCCCACACAGACACTATTTCCTGAAATTTCTATGGACCAAATGTTTAATCGATTAACCAAGAAAATAATTGGGAATATTGATCGATAATTAAAATAATCTAAGGCTGCAACTAACAGTTATTTTTGTTATCAATAAATCTGCCGATTATTTTCTCTATGAATCGCTTGGCTCATGAAAAATGTCCAAAGTTGACATATTAAACGTCTTGTTTTGTCTGAACGGTCAAAACAACGTGTCTTAATATCAGAAGACAAAGATAACCAGCACGTCCACATTTAAGAAACTGGAACAGATATTTCTTGACATTTTAATTGATTGAAAACAACTTAAATGATTAATCGATTGTCATATTAGTTGGCGATTCATTTTCTGATGATCAACCAATCGATTAACTAATTGGTTCAGTTCTAAAAATAATGTATGTCATCTGAGTAAAGTACATCAAATCAAGACGAATTAATGTGTTAATATCAATTTATTATCTTTTTTTAAATTACTTTTTAAAGCACCCCATTTCTTTTCCAATACATGTGTTAAGACCCTTCTTCCTTCTCCTCCTCAATCTTGGAATTAGCTTGTTTTGAATATTTAATAAGGATTTTAACCCCACCCCACCACACCCCCACCCCTGAAAACTCTGCAAAACACAGATGAGCCTGCGTTGCTTCTTCGTCTTCATCTTTCATCCAGGCACAACACAGGGATTCCCTGCTCTCGCCATAACCTCTGACACTGACAACAACCCGTCTAAAAAAAAAACAACACTACCACACTGATTTCTCCGACACGAGGGCCGCCCAGAACCCGCCAGTCTTAGTTTATATAAGGAGTTTATGCATGCACTGAGATTCCAACCAAGCATAAAGTAGTAGGTTATACAGGGATTTGTCTTGAGCTGGTGTTTCCGAGTCATACAAACAGCAGGGTGATTATCTTTTTTCATTTTCTTTCAATTTAAAAATTTAAAAATAACAACAACAAAAAAAGTCCAGTTATTTCTGATCTCCTTCAAGTAAATGACGGGAGGAAGAACCTCCTGAAGCATCATGTGCACCGTGCTCACGAAACACTGACTGGTGTCTTTATCTGTGAGGACGGGCTTCTGCGGTCACAGCTGCTGTGACTGCACAAGAGGATGGCCACGTTCACAGCAGCTCAGTCGACACCCATCCTTTCACACTTCCAGCTTGTCTTCAGCAGTACGATCATCAACTAGGATTGTGCGCGTCTCTCTTCATCTCTTTGTTCCCCCCCATGGTTCTGTGAGAGGCTCTGTGAAACTTATTCCTAAACTGAAAACAAACAAAAAAAAAAAAAAATGCATTTACATTCCAGTGCCCAATTGAAAAAATCTTTTTTTTTGTCTTCCCAGAGTCCAGAGGAGGAGGTCAGAGTTCACGTGAACAGTGGGGGGCTTAACTGTTATAGGAGTGTTGTTTGTTTTTGTCTAAAACAATGTGGCAATATAACCATACTTTACCGCTCAACACACACATGAATCATTAACAATTATTAATAATCCATTATTAATAATCATTAATACCTTGAACACACACCATACCGGATAATGCAACAGTTTTTTTTAAAATCATCTATGTTTTTTTACAGTCAAAAGTGGGCTCTTTTCTTTTCGCAAGAAAAATGTGAACATGATTACAACAACAATTACATCAGGATTAGTTATGGCAATATTGACAGCTATAGAAAATGCAGTTGGAGTTGTCGCTCTAACTCTTGAATTCAATACTCATTTGAATATATCAAAATTACTATTATTATCTTTGTTACTCTATAAAACCAATGACTTGTTTTTTGTTGTTTTTTTTCCAATATACCCATAAATATTTACAGTAAAGATCAAAAAATGTGGGACACGTGATCTTGAATGCCAGTGAAACTTGGACAGGTACGGTACATTTCAAATGTGTTTGGTCATGTTTTACAAATTTTTTTTTGTACATCTATCTCATGCATTGGAGTGACTCCCATAGACACCTATGTTGTTTAGATACTCAATATGTCATGGATGCCAGAAAGCCTGTATTTCCCCTTTTTCTTTTTGTATTTGTACATGTCCACACAAATCTTTCTCCTCATCCCAGCTGCATTTTTAAAACTTAAGTCTCTTGGCCTTTACAAACATTCTGTATATTCATATTCAGTTTTTAAATCATCTTGCAGTCATCAAATAAAAATGTTGATAGCGAGACATCCCTTTAAGAACCCCTTAAAGGCATTGGTGACGTTCCAAGCAACTTGTTTTTGTGTTTTTTTAAATACACTTAGTACAAAAAAAATAAACAAAACATCAACATTTGTAAATTATTTAAAAGTTTTTTCCAATCCCCAGCAGGCCGGAGACTAAAGTAACCCATCTTTTGTGATTCTCCCCCTTTTTTCCTTTCTGAAGCGGACGTTACAAGTGCTTGCTAGATATATCTGGACACTACAGACTACATACAAGTACGTACACAATGCAAAAAACCCACATCATTTTCCTTTCTTCCTCCCCCTGTCCTCTCTCTTTCTCCATTCCAGCATAGAACATCATAGAAGAAGACATGGCTGCCGTCCCCCATCTCTCTCTGCAGCTCTGGGAGGGGAAAAAAGGCAAAATATCCCTCCTTTCACTCTTCCTGTCTCACTTTTGTACAGGCGGTAACAAAAGATAAAAACACTAAACACAAACCTCCTCTTTAAAAAAAAAATCTAATATCACCTTAATCCAGTGGTATTATACGTGGTTACATTCCTCCCTCCCTCTTTTATATCTGTGAGAATGGGAGAAACCCTCTCTACCCACCCTGAGTCTAAAGACGCAGGGAGCAGCTCAATAATGTCAGATTGTCCTCTCTTTGCCTTTCTGTGTGTTAAGAGGAAAGGGTGATGTCCCTAAATCCTCTGCATTTAAGCTGAGAGTTGAGATCAGTCCGAGAAAGGATACAAGGAAAGGTGGCAAGCTGAGAGTATTGAGGTGCAACCTGTGATAGCTACCTTCCTAAATCGCTCCCACCCTTTGTGCTACCACCCTGCCCGCTCTTTTCCTCCTGCCGTCTAAGAGTAGGAGAGGTGGGAGCCGTTAGAGATGTGTGAAGTGACTGAGGTGCTTCGGCTCAGGACGCCGTCGCTGCCCCCGGCTCCTCCAGGTCCCCCACCGGATGCCGTCCTCCTCAGGGGCTGGGGGCTGTTCCTCAGGGCCATCAGGCTGGGGGCACCGCGCACACCCAGCCCGCCGCCGCTGTAGATCCCCCCCTGCGAGGAGGAGGAGGAAGAGGAAGAGGAGGACGGGCCGGAGATGGAGGGAGGGGCAGGCGGCGGGGGAGGTAGCATGGCCAGGGACTGGGAGGAGGAGCGTGAGGGCAGGTGATGGGAGAAGGGCAGGGGGTGTGGGTGGGCCAGGTCACCGCCGGAGGCCCGCACTCCGGCCCACTCCCGCTCTCTCTCCTTCTCCCGCTCCCTGTCTCGATCTCGGTCCCGCTCTCGCTCGCGGTACAGCTGCGGTGTGCTCTGGTGGTGGTAGTGCTGGGGCAGGTGGTGCCGCTGATGGTGGGAGGAAGAAGAGGAGGAAGAGGAGGAAGAGGACGCGGAGGAACGGGACGAGTGGTGCACCTCCCTCCCGTCTCGCCCCAATCCCAGGGCCATTCCCAGGACGTGGGAGGAAGAGGAGGACTCGCTCCTGCGGTCCCCTGCTCCACTGCCGCTGCTGATGCCACTGCTGCTGCTGCTGTTGTGGCTGCGGCGGGAGTGTTGCTGCGGGGGCATGCCGTGGCTCCAGTGCCCAGCAGAGCGGGAGCCGGCGGGCGGGGCGTTGGAGTAGCCCTGCATGGGGTAGGCCTCACTGGGGATGCCTGTCAGGGCCATGTTGCTGAAGCCCAGACGCAAGCTCTCTGAGTCAAAGGACTCGATCTCGCTGGCCTGCCGCTCTAGGAGGGTGCGGATGCGTTCTGAACGCTCGTTCTGCAGGGACAGCATCTCTTCCTCAATCTAGGAAAAGAGCAACAGATTAAAACACAATGTCACTTTTCTTCAGCTTGTAGCATTACTGAAAGGTTTTCCAATTTTTCCCTAAACAAGATTCAAGATTTTGCATTTGCAAATGTAAAACAAATTTTTGTGAATGTTTTTTTGTCAGCTGCTTTTTCCAAGTCCAAGAATGAACTTTCAATCTCAACGTTTAAGCTAACATTGATGAGAAGTCCTTACAGAAGATCGTGATATGACTGAAAGCTCCAGAACAACTACTAAGAGGACCTTGTGGTGAAAATCATCCTTAAAAGTGCTGTTGATAATGAAAGTAAATTGTAGAAGGCTCAAAACAGCAAATAAACTAATGATACTAGTCATCATCAATGGTCTACTGTTACCTTCCTTTGAAAAGAAATCATATCCAGTTTGCAATCTTCTCTGCAAGCCTAACTGAATTCCTAAAACTCACCAGGGGCTGCATTTTAAGGAGCTTTGCTTTCATAGAAGTGTTTGCCAAAAGGCTCTAACCCTCTGCTCCAGCAGGGCGCGGCGGATGGAGACCCTCTGCTCCAGGTCCTTGACCTCTCTCTCATGTTGCGTGTCGGTGTGGATCTTGATCTTGCTCTGGTAGGCGTTGAGCAGCTCCAACTCCTGCTGCAGCTGCATGCGCAGCACCTTGTACTCCGCTTCCTGGGTCTCATCCAATCGCAGCTAACAGACAGAAAAAAAAAAGTGTGATGAAAAATGGAAGTGGCAGGATTGCATTGGCAACGAGTTGTGCTTTAGTGTTGACAGGTAGAAGAGGAAAGGTTTAGAAAGTTTAACCAAGTAGAAAAGAGAGGGCGATGCAGAGAAGAGGATCGGGAGTTGTGAGTTTTGTTTAATCAATGTTGGGCTTGCTGTATTCAATAGGATGAAGTTAAGAGAATCATAAAGTTCTGTGTAAATGTAAGAAACTGTCGAACTAAAATCACAACAAACGAATATAAATTACAAACTTCAGCACACATTCTACTGATAAACTAAAATGCATCAGGCAGAAATACTGCAGGTGTGTGAACAGGATGTGAAGCGTTACTGACTGTTCGGATATCATTTCAAAAAGGTCTAATGCAAAAATTGTAAAAAGCAAAACAAATGGCGAAATGTTGCACAATAGTTGGTTCCAGATAGAAGATTAAATCTTGTTTCAAAAGACATTCTTCATTTAAAACATTTTTTTTCCTCCCCTGACGTCAGGATAGAGTTTAATCAGCGAGTGGGAAACATTCCCAAAGAGACTTTAACCAGAGCATGAGAAGATGTGCGGACGATCAAGGGCAGCAGGGATTTGGCTTACTGGGCTTATGTGGCCTGCTGCCATGTGAGGTAATTGAAGTGGCACAGGGCGTTATGTCACTGAAGGGAACGAGACGTTTTGTCAAGTCCCATCCTCTTCCTACTTTCATTCATTTCAAACCCTGGCACTTGTGTCCCGCGCTTAGAGGGCAGCTATGAGTTAAGAGTTTAGCTATAAAGGGACTCACTGTACAAAAATGATTTTACTATTAAAAAGAAAGACTCTCCCAAGGAGTGGTGGAATGGAAGTACAAATTTGAGGTACTTTTTTTTAACAATTGTTTCAGTTGTTTTTGATCCAAACTTTTCATGGTTCCAGCTTCTCAAATGTGAGGATTTGCTGCTTTTCCTTATAATAATTTTAGTTTATTTTACTTTTGTCCAACTGTTCGGGCTCTAGGTTGATTGGGATGGGCAATCAAAAACATTATCAACATATTAATCCATAATGAAAATAATCATTAGTTATTTATTAGGGTTTATTTAGAACCCTTTTATAAAATAGAACACCTAGAAACACCATCAGCCTCCCCCCTAATAACTTAACTTTCAAGCTTAATATGTAAATAAGACTCTTTGACACAGCCAAGTGGAGTTGACGAAATTCTGGTAAAAATAACTGTTTTTAATACAAGAGCTACCAAATTAAAACAATTTTCTACGGTCATTAAATAAGCAAACACGTCACAAGCTTCAGCACTGTAATATTTTTACTTTAAATTAGTTTTCACATTAGTAGAGCATTTGGGTTGTTTTTTTTTTGTTCTTGTTCATTTGACTGGGACAAATGCATGAGACATTGCTTCATAAAATATACACGACGAAGAAGAATATGTGGAATAAAAAAACGAGGATCTCTCTGGTTTAACTGTGTCGATTTGTATCCTTGTTTCTTTCAAACTGTCCATGCTGAGTAACATTATAGGAGTGCAATGCCAAATTGGTGGAGTCGCCTTCTAAAGATAAAACTGAATGTATGTAGCTTTATTATGTGGCTGAATATCAGTGTTCCTCGTCCTTAAGTTGTAGCTAACCTCACTCACATTTCTTTTCTGTACAGGATTGTAACATTTATCCTCTGAAATAAGATGTCAATTTTTTTTAAAACTGTCATCACTGCTTAGATGTCCTCTATCAAGACGGGACAGATAATGTTAATTTATCAAAAATTCAGTGTAAATGATATTTAGGAGCTTTTGTACAGGAAACAGGATGAACATAATTTGGTATAAAACTGGGAAATGTGGGTTTAGGTGGAGATTAACACTGAGGGACCGGGAGGAGGCTTGTTGGCTGGCAGGCAGGAAGGCAGGCAGGCAGGGGGGCAGGCAGGACGGGCCCCCAGGCCAGGCACAGCAGTGGTGGTGTGGTGCGAGTGTGAAGTGAACGACGTCTCCTTGCCTTACTCACAGCCTGTGTGGACAGCATATCATTGATGGAGTGGTCATACTGCTCGGCCAGGATGGCCAGCTTACGAGTCTGCTCATCCTTCAGCCGCTTGAGCACGGCCTTGTGGTCCGACTTGGGTGTGTTCTCCAGCAGGTGGTTGCGCAGGGCCTTGTACTGACGGGTCTGGATCTTACAGGTGTCCTGGAACTGACGCTTAATCTGTAGCTCTTTGGACTGGAGGAGAGAGAAGAGAGATGGAGGCAGCTGGGCTAAAGTGCTCCTATGGTGTTATAAATGAACATGGTTAAATACAGAAAATCAGGAACAACTTTTTTTTTTTTTAAATAAACAATTTCTATCAATTTTGCTGATGACCGATCTGAAAAATGTACACCATTAACTATCACAACTTTAAAGAATAAATACCTGTCTCATGTTGAATCTTTGCCAGTGATAGCATCATGGCCAAAGTGAAGAGGATGTGTACACTCTTATTTTCACACATATAGTTTGCTGCTTTATTATCATATTTATTATTTTCAGTTGTGGATTTTTTTAAAAGCTACACTCACAATCAACTATATCTTAAAAGGGATGACAATGAATCCTGTGCGTGATTACTGTGGATTTATGCAACAAAATATATGAATCATATACATTAATGTTCTTTTCAGCCAGTGCTTTAAACTCAATTCCTACTTATGTGTGTTGAGAATGTTTTTTTTTTACTCTTAAAAGGTATTTTCATACATTTATTAAAGTGGCTGACCTGCAGATGAAAAATAAGCCTTTTGTGCATTTGCCAGGTGCCAATTACTGATTACTTTTCTGATGTAAACAAACCTACAATTTCTAAAAACGTTTATAACTTTAGCTCAACTGAAAATAACTTTTCACTCTGAATATACGGACCTGACTGCATTCGGATTGCAAAGTGTGCCTTTAACTGAAATGTGACTAATGTGTATTGACTTCTAAAACCCAGTTATTTTTCTGTCTGTTTAAATTTCATTTACAATTATTTTCATGCACTGAAATTTAAACTTGTGATTTGGCATATAGCACGTGGATTCAAATAACACAGTAAGGCCTTTGAATGACTATATAGCCATTAGTTAACATCCATATTATATATGTTGATTTGAAGTAGTCCTGGCAGAACCTGCTGGCATTATTTTGGGGGATTTTGGACAAAGGGAAGGGCACAGCAGATAACACAGATAAAATGTGTGACGATGCAGGAGGATTGATGATAAACAAAATGGTAAAGGGATCTTTCTGTACCATCTAATTTATCTATATCTCTCTCTATATATATATATAGAGAGAGATATAGATATAGATATATAGAGGCTGATAAACCAGGGGAAAGTAAACAAATGAAGGCATGGTAATAATGGAAACAAAAATCATAAAAACAAACAAGACAATGATTTCCACACAAAAGAATTTATTTTTTGGGTAAAGAAAAATCTGGAAGTATGACAAAATATTTTTCTATGCTTGCTGGCACATGGCCGTACAGTACGCCAACACTCATGCAGCTAAAGTGAGAATAAAAGGACAACAAAATGGCTGCCAAACACAATGCAGTACTAGTCTTATAAATACTGCATAAATTAAATATTTTAAAAAAACTCAAGGTGATATATCTCTCAGACGGTGTCACAACAAACAGAATACAAACATGTAAACATACACAGAGGAACAGGAAATAACTGATACTGGAACACAAAAGTAAATCAATGGCAAATAAGTTACATTCAAATAAAACACAAGGTTTGCTGTGAAATGTCTTTTTTTTAGCGAGACATTCCAAATGCAGGACACCTAAACAAAGTGCCCAACTTTTTTGTTCCCCCCGTGTCAAAATACAGTTAATACTGAGTTTTCCTACTCAGTAATATTCCTCCATGTAATGACTCCAATGCCGTCCTTCTGTGACACACAGGGAATATCATCCTACATAGTTAGCATTTATAAGCACTAATGCATTTTATTAATCTTAACCAGACTTCCCTTGCAAATATGCACATTTTTACTCTCAAATCTATGAATGTCACAATCGCAAATTTTCACTGAAATTTGCTTAATTTAACTTAATTCACTTAAAAAATTTACACATTAGAGCAATGTGGTTTTTAAGTCCTCAAATTTGCGAAAGTAACAGTAAAATTTGTTTTTGGTCCGACTGAAGTACAGCTGAAATGATTGATCGATTTGTTGGTCGACAGAAAAATGATCAGCAACTATTGTGATTATCGATTAATCATTTAAAGCCATTTTCCCCCAAGAAAAAATAGGTTCCAGCTTCTCATATCAGAGGATTTGCTGCTTACTCTGTCATATATCAGTCTAAACTGAACATCTTTGGGTTTTGGACTTTTGGTTGAACAAAGTAAGATATTTCAGGACATCACCTCAGGCTCTGGGACATGATGGGCAATTGTTACTATTTTTAGACATTTAATCAAAAAAATAAAAAATAAATAAAAAAAATCTGTAGATCATCAGATCATTAATGGGAATAATCTTTAGTTGTAGCCCTAAACTGAAGTGATCTGTTCTCCCATTTGTTTGTTTTTTTGTCCTTGGGACAGTGCAAAATGAAACAAATGCTTTAACTGGACACCTTCTCTCCACACGATCATGAACTGCTCAATCTCTACTTTCACATTCAGTAGTTGCATCAATCTTTGGACTTCTTTTATGATTGCGTGTCTCAAAAGATTGTCTATATGGCTTCATATAAATTAAGCTACACTGAAATATTAAATAAGTTTTTATTATTTTCTAATTTTACTACTCCAAAAGTATATCCTGCATTCCTATGTTTCCACTATAAATGTAGGATATGTCACTTCACAACAGAGTTAACATTTGTGCAAACTGTTGTAACAAGGCACTCAACTGGTTTAAATTTATGTGATGATTAAGGGGAAAGATATCTAAATGTTTACATGGTAAAACATAACAAAATTATTGCATAAAGAGCAATAAAAAACAGTACATCTAACTAAAATCTGAACGATAATAATTTCACCAGCTGTAAAATAATATCCAATGGTGTCTTCGGATGAAACAATGTATTGGATAGGCTTAATGTTCCAGCTAAATGGCCTCAAACTTCTGCAAACTATATTCCACTTTGACTTCTAAACATAGAAATTATGCTTCATGTTGTCCTACAGTGGTCCCAGATATTTCTGCTTAGCTGTTTATTGCACTTTCATACTGACTGAGAGCGACCTGTAGTGTTTGGGGTGATGTTAGTGAAATTATTCCAATACGTTTTTTCTTTTTCACAGTATTCAGCTTTGGGGAGTGAAATTATAGCCAGGAACCTATGCAACACTGTAATATTTGTTCTAAGCACTGAGATAACAGTGCACCCAATGAAATAAGACCAGTATAAAAGAAAAACAAAAGGATTGCACAAAAACGGTCTTAAAAAATAACCATAAAAATATTTGTCTTACAAATTAAGAGCAAAATTATAAAATTCAAGAAACTTTGAAGAACTTTTACAAAAAGCACAATAATGAAATGTTAAAACTTCACTGGTTTGGTACAGCAACAGTGGGTTTAGCTGCAGGTTTCTGTTTGCAGAGCCCACTGATTCAACATGTGCAGACATGTACACATGTGTGGATAAGCTTCAACAGCCAAAATCACTTTCAGCCAGTGCACACATATATGTATGTGCACGTGTGCAGGGTAGAATATGTCTCATCTTTAGGACATGCGACCAAAGCTCAGTTTGGGGAATTATGTAACAAGAGAGACATGTGGGCCCAAATCAAAACAACACACAAATAATGGAACATAGAGCATGATCACGCTCACACACATCAGCACACGTCCCACTCTTTTCTTTAATTTGTCTAACTCTTGCTATCTCCATGGTCGAATTTTTCCCCTGACAAACCTTCCAGATGCAGTCCGTCTCAACCCACACTCCCACCTCACCTCCTCACGAAACATCCTCTCCCTCTCTTCCCTCCTCTGTCTCTCCCTCTCTCTCCTCCTCCTCTCCCTCTGTCTCCTCTCTCTGACTTCCCTGGGCAGCAGTTGGGGCAGCCTGCTTGGGATTTCCTTCTTCAAGAGGCCCAGATTTAGGAGTTTGACACGGACGCTGATCGGCAGCTTTTTAAGGAGCTGTCTGGCTAGTTTTAGCACTATGGAGTTAGCCAGGTCTGCCAAGACCCCGAGGGGCCGTCTACTGAAACGCCTCACCCAGAGAAGGCCCTTGGACAAGGGAGAGGTGTTACTGCAGCGAGCCTGATACTCTAAGGGTAAGCTCTTCAGGGGGACTGGGATTTTGGACTGGCGCACACCCCAGTTGCGCCCTGCTTTGGGAAACATCTCATAGAGGTTACGCTCAGCCATACCACCCAGCACTGACTGGCACATGGCAAACAGGGGTCGAGGCAGTCGGAAAAGGACGCGCATGCAGAGGCGGTTGACTTTACGAGGTGCGTACTGGAGGAAGTCGCGGGCCGGCCTCACAATCAGCACGACCACCAAGTAGAGAGAGAGGAAGAGGGAGGGAGAGCTGAGGAAGGAGGCGGAAATCAAGATCATGGGGATGTAATAAATCCCCAAACTCAGGGAGAGTCCTAAACTGAAGAGGCCGCTGGCCCAGAGGCTGAGCGACAGGTAGGTGGAGAGAGACAGAGAGCAGCAGGAACGAAGGAAGAGGTAGGAGAAGAAGAGCGCCAAGAAGGCAAGCTCCGCAGAGAGGAGGACCGAGGCCACCGAGGGCAGAGGTGGTGAGCGACGGAGGGAGAGGAGGAAGATGGAGAGCAGCAGCAAAGTGAGGTTGGAGGGCTGAGCAGCGACGGAGAGGGAGAGGAGGAGGCAGATGGCGTGAGAGAAGAGCGAAGGCAAAGACGTTTGGGCGGTGGAAGGAGAGGAAGGAGGGGGAGAGGTGGGTATGGGCTCCAGCTCCTCTGGAGAAACAGGGAAGTAAAACTCAGACAGCTCATCGATGTCTCGCTCACGGAGCCGTCTCTTTTCCGGGGACAGGGATGAGATGAACTCTGACGGGCAACCATCGGCCACGCCCCTGCCCTCTTCTTCCTCTTCATCGGTGTCTACATGTTCAGTTTTACTGTGATCATCCTCGTACTCCCACTGCACTCCTTCTACTTCCCTCACCTCTGGCCCTTCTTCGCCAATTTTCCACTCCTCCTTCTCATCCTCTCTGTCATCATTTCCCTTTGGTTTATTCTCGTCATCTACCTCATCTTTCCCTTCAACCACAGAGACGCCCTCTACCTCCTCATCTTTGAATTCCAGTACCGCTCCATCAAGCTCATCCTGACCATCATACATCTCTTTCTCTACCATCTCCCTCTCTTTTTGTATCTCGCCCTCCACCTCTACTTGTACCACCCCCCCCTCACTGTCCCAGCTGCTGCCCAGCCCCTCTGTTGTCTGGCCCTCTCCCTCTTCGGGAGACCCCTGGCTTTGGGTGCTCTCACTCACTTTGAGGCTCTTGGGCTGTTGGCGGACCTCCACGGCGTGTTTCTGACGCAGCTCCTGCTCACGCCTCTTGTTGTACTCCATCTGGTTGGTGAGCTCCGTCTGGTGCTGTGTGCGGATCAGCTCGGCCCGCGTATGCTGCACCAAACCCAGCTGGCGGAACTCCAGCTCCTGAGTGGACTCGTGGTGACGCAGGAGCATGGCGCACTCCAAGTCCTTCAGAGTCTGCTTCTTGTTCAGTTCCTACAGAAGTAAAGCAGATGAAGAACATGCTTGGGCAGCCTGCTGTAGAAGAATATTTTATTATGCATTTCTCATATACTTCTTATATATTTCAATATATATTGTTATGATATATTGTTCATTCAACCCTATTTTTAAAGGCAGTTAGTAGTGTTGTACTGGACTATATTATAATTAAAGATATTTTTAATCTCCTAAAATAAGTATGCAAAAGTATATTTCTCATCATTGGGAAACATTGAAAACTAAAGTAGGGCTGGGCGATATAGCCAAAAATGTTGTCATGATAAAAACATTTCATGTCATTCGATAAATTATTACGATAAATGTCAAATCGTTATTTCTTTCAAGTTTAAAGGCAGATTTTTGCTCCTGAGTGTAAATGGAAGAAATCAGATGGTTAATTCTTCTTCTTTATGGCCAGAATAGGACAAACACTGAAAATTATATTGCGATAATTATCATTATTGCTTTATTGCCCAGCCCTAATTCAAAGGTCAAATAAGAACATGCATTGTTTGACAACTTGCTATGTTGGGAAAGCCCAATAGCAGAAATATCATATAATTTATTTAATTAACAATGAAGATGATTTTGCTACCTGATAATGTAATTTACTGAGACTAAGTTTGTCTTTGGGAAGTGAATCCTACTGGACTGCTGTTTTTTTTGTGTGTTTTGTGAGAATTGAATTGTTGATCCAACACTGACACGCCCATCAAATATAAAAATGGTACCTCTCGGAGCAGATCCTGCTCCAGGTTGTGGCGTGCCAGCAGCATCTTCCTCTTGTACTGGCGACACTGTAGCTCATAATACTGCCTCTGCCGCCGCAGCAGGCCTGCCTCTTCCTCGGCCTGCAGCTGCTGCAGACACTCCTTCTGGTGCACCAGCCACTCTTGTTTCTCCCGCTTTGGTGTTGACTGGTTCTCATTCAGTTCCTTGAGTGGCAATAAGTACAGTAATATTAGATGAATAGGCATGGTTTCAATCTGAAAGAGCAATGCTGTTTGTGTAGTATGATGCAGGGTTGATATTAAGTTAGAGGGTGGTGGCGTCAGTATTATCAGTTATATGGCAGAGCTGATTAACAGTGGAAAATGTATGCATTTTAATGGTAGTCAGCTGACTGGTGACACACTGTGATAAAACCTAGAAGCACCTCTTTGAGCTGCTCCTTGCGTTGGCGATACTGCCGTTTCTGGGACTCCAGCAGACTGGTCAACTCCTTCTTTTGCTGGGCCAGTATGTGCTGCTGGAACTTCTTCTCCTCAGTCAGGACTGCCTTTGTCTGAAAACAACAACCCACAGTCTCATTAACATGATCATTGCAAGAAGCATAAAATATAAAAAAAGGAAAATTAATAAAAACACTGGAATATTCACTATAAATCAATATTCACTGTAAAGCAGGTCTCTGTCTCACATCAAAGATCTCCCCCCATAACTTTCTATGGCAGTTCTGTTTTTACCCGTCTTCATGATTCTCTTCCCATTCATCCCTCACAAATGTTCAAGTCGTGTGTGACTTGTCTAGTTTTCCCCATGTCTTATTCATCTATCCCTCCGTTCCCCTCTCACCTCATTCGTCCTCCACCAGCTCACCTCCTTCTCCAGGATGACCTGGTGCTTTTTGGAGAGTTTTTCTCCCTCCATGGAGAAGCTGTTCCTCTGATTCTCCAGCTCTTTGTCCAGTCTCAGCTGGTGCTCGTCCATCTCTGCCTTCAGCTTGTTCTCCAGGCCCATCAGCTGCTTCTGGTGCTGCCGTCGCATTCGCTTGTACCTGAGTTGCAGAGCATGAAGTTAGCCTCTCTTTGAAGTTCAAATGTTAAGGGTGTACATTTGAAGTATGGTTAGTATAAACAGGGTTCTTGCATCATTTTAAAAGTCAAATTTAATTTTGGGTGATCAGACTGTGATCGGGTAGCACTTGACCACATGAAAGTACATGTGTAAATGCACCGAGACACAGGACAGATTGTGATCCAATCAGCGAAACAACCTCTGGAGGTGGTCAGGAACACCGTGACTGCATGGATGCAAATGCGTTGTCTATCCACATACAACAACTACTTGGGCAGAAATATCTACTGGTCACAGTCTTCTGCAAATAAAATCCAAAAGTCTGACAGTGCAGACAGGAGCCTAGACAGTGTGTCCAGTCAGTGTTGTGCATAAACGTGCTCAAACAGTGGCAATTATTGATCATGCTCAGGTTTTTGGTGAACTGATCGTGTTCGTTTGTGAACGTGAACTAGGGCTAGGCAATAAATCAATAATGGTAATTATCGTGATACAATCTTTCTCAATAACAATATAACAAATGTTCAATAAATATTTGATTTAATTAATTTAAATCACAAACGAATTAACACTTTCTTTTCTATTAAGATATTTATTGTGTTGAGGAAAAGGGACTGAAAAATGATTACTTTATTTTTTTTTTGTTTTTTTGAATGTTCTAACTCAGATTTGTGAAGTGATCCACTGTTTGATACTAATATTAATGGTGGCGTCTCGCATTGTCAATTACTAAAAGAAAATCACACTAATTAGGCATTTTAGGTGACTGTGCGCGACAATTTCCCCACCAGCCTTAAACACACCATCAGCAAATTTAATACCTACAGCAAATTAACGGTAAATTTAAGATCTTAATTTCCCTGATTTCAATTTAAGACCTTTTAAGATTTTTTAAGGAGCCCACTGGAACCCTGATAAAGTATAGTTATTAGCTGTACAAATAAACTTGACAAGTGGCTTCTCTTCCTTTGTAACAATATGTGGCATGTATACCAACCCTGACACACAACTGCTACCTTACCCAGACATCTGCTCTCTCAGGGCCGAGCCCTGCTCATGTTCCTGGATCTGACGAGTGACGAGTGAGGCTGTCCTGATGGTGGCAAAGTGGTCTCTCCCTCGACGACGCCTCCCCCCACCTCCTCCCCCTCCTCCGCCAGCAGATGAAGCTTCTCGTTGTGAGTCAACTTCTGGCTGATAGGGATCATCGTAGATGTTGTCATGGCTCTGCACAGTGGAGACCAAGCAGGGGATAAAAGAAAGAAGAATGAAGAAAGGAAGATAATTTCTTTTTAAATTCTGTCTGTTTAAGCATAAGAATTTTTAACAGAGTCACCCTAGTGCTTCAAACTGAATACACTGGTTGTTTAATTAAATTTGGGGCTTTGGCAGTCAGTCAAGTGCACTTCATACCAAGCTGGGTGGTGATTTTCTGCTTCTACTCTGTAGGCGGCAACACAGACATGTGCACGGAGCATCTGCAGGTCTACACTGGTGCTGCCATTACCTACCATTTCCTGAAGGTGGTGCAAGTTTGAAATAGTATGATGGTTTGTTCATGGCTAGTATATAAAGCAAGACAAATCACAGGACTAAAACATAATAGAAAAGGTAAGCTTCCAATATCTTTACAAACTTTGATTAAAACTGATTTGATGCATTTTAAAACAAATTATATTTCTATTATGATGTTGTGATTTAAGTCTTCAGAAAGACTTTAAAGAATTATACTTGGCTCTATATGAAACTGATGAACATAGTGCCAAATGTGTCAAAGAGGGGTTTGGGAAGGGTAGGACTCTCCTCCTCAACATGTCCGCCCACAGACAGTAAAACCCTCGGACTGACCAGGGGCTTGTGCAGGACGGAGCTGTTGGAGGTGACTGTGTGCTCTCCTTCTTGCATCATGGCCATCTCCCCGCTGTCGTCAGAGCCGTCTGCCAGGCTGTTGACCGAGCTGCTCTGGGAGCTGGCGCTGATTGACATAGATGGCAGAGAGTGGGAGCTCTCCATGCTGTTGACTGTGCCGGTGCGCAGCATATACTGCTCCACATCCTGGTGGAAAGGAAAAAGAGGACGTTTAGTCACAAAGGTTCTGGGCACAAATATCACTTTTAGGATTGCAATTAGGGTTTCCTTAATTCATAGGGTGATAGTAGTGCACTGACAAGGGATGGTTATCAAGAAACTGTTCCAATTAGGGTTTTTACGATTGGATCACTTATGGACGATTGAAGGGATGATCAGCGATTGTTTTTTCATGCGCCGATATTAAGGCGATTTTAACTAACTCGCTATCAGAACTAAGACGACATAAAAACAGTCTCTAGAATCTGCACCACAGCGCGGTGTTTCCCAGTCATTGATTTATTTTTGGCGACACGACACACCACAATATCAACGCTGACTGCAACATACTACTGTACATACTATTTTATGAGTAAAATCCCAATTCATTGTGGAGCTGCACGCATCTCAAGTAGCCATGACTAGACTATGCGAAAATAGAGATGATCGTCCCCAATTGCAATATGTAATCGTTACCAAATATCCAAGAACGGTGGATTTGATAAGACACGTGTATTTCGATTGTGCTTATCAGTTCTTACCTTTTTCCATATTTCAGTGAAAGAACGCGCCGCGTTCAATGTGCGGTCTTTCAACTACAATGACACCCCAGATACAGTAGCAACGTCTCACGCTCAGGTACAATACACAGATGAGTTGACATTCATCGTTTATAAGGTAAACAAATCTTTCCAATATATATTATTCTTAGATACGAGTCCCCAGAGACGCCCTTCTAGTATGAAAACTATAAAAAGAAGATGAGCAAGGAGGAAGTGGATAAATGTCACAGAGCGGTGACAAGATCTGTGGTGAGGGGGTTTGAATCAGCACAGAAATTTGATAAGAACCGGAATTGATTAGAATAATCAGAATTGATGCGCTTATCCTATGAAATCCTTTCTGAGATGACATGGAGTAAAAAATTACACATACCAACAGTGAGTAAATGCAAAATGCACTCCCACATTCTTGGAATTTCCTTTTTGGGAGGGGGACAACTAACTGGAATTAAATGCTGACGGAAACAAAAGCCTTTGTACAGAGAGGAAGGGGCCCCATGTTCACAATATATATTAAGTACAATACAAAAGCAGGATGGATGCTAAAACCTGCTGTTTTCCCTTACAGTTGTACTCCGTTTTTTCCACCTCAGCCTGCAGCGCTGCTTTCTTTTTCATGCAATCTCCAGTTACACCGTTATTCATATCCTATAAATAATTTCATCAACCAAATCATTTTGAATCAGGACCTCCAGTATTTGGACAGCTCGTGAAATATATGGTACTATAAGATTTAGTAGCTACAGCTGGTATACAAATATTATATAGTATCAGATTGGACTCAGTACCGGCAGATACCCAATGTCTTTGTACAAGTGTTACCTCTTCCTCATCGCCTCCTTCTGGTGCGGGACCGTTGTGTGCCTCATGGAAGAGGATTTTCTTCATCTTCCGGTACTGAAGGTTATCCAGCTCGCGGACAGCGTCCTTGGTGCGGGCGATCAAGTCCATCACAACTGTCATGGGACGCTCTCTGCATAGGAAATGGTGCTGGGTGGACAGAAAGGTTAAGAGAAAAGGGGGAATAGAAATGGACAGAGGCACGGTGAACAATTTAATAGTCATAGGATTTTGAGATCAAGGTCCCGGTATATTAGGATTAACAAGAAGCCTGTACAATTGGGGTTGGGGTGTTAGTTTTAAGGCTGGGCGATTATGGTTAACATGTTGATCCCGATTATTTCCCTTTAAACTGGGATTCTGCTCATCAACCAGAACAGCAAAGGGCCATTTCTGTTAAACATCTATTATTGACGTAGAAGAAAGGGGATCTCCTTTCATGAAGTGATCATTCCCAGTTGACTGCGCCTCTAACAACTGAATTCAGTGATTGTATAACTTCATGCCATTGTTACTGATCTGGGTGGTGTTTGTGCAGTCTTGTCGCAGCACGGGAACATTTTTAACCATCATGCTTCCAGCAATTTACATCAAAGCAACGAGTGTATTATTCTGGAGAGTTTTTTAAGGATTTTCCAGTTGACGGGGACGCCAACATGATGAGACATAAACAGCAGCAGGACACTAATGATTACTGTAGTAGCTGGCTATATAGAGCAGAACATATCAAGTTAAAAAAAATACATATGTTGCCAACAGCCAGCAGTGTTGCATTAAAAAGAGTGTATTTCAATTTACAATATATACTGTAGCCACTAGGCATGTCTTCAATTGACCAAATTACACTATATTGGACCAATCAGTTTTTATGAAGAATATGGGCATTACTGATGGTACAAAGTTGCCCATAAACTAAACTACTCTGCCTACTTCCTGAAACTTCTCACACCCATGCTCACACTTCACACCTCCACTCACCATTTTTCCTTTGATATTCTCCTTTGAAGTTCAAGTGCTACGTAAATGTTTCCCCCAACAGCACCAAGCTGACCTGCTTGTTATGCCAGCGAACACATGAGTAGTAACAATCAATCATGTATACAGAGACTACAATAGTAATTACTTAATAGTGAATAGCTGGCTGCAGCTGAAGCTACTTATTTTACTACTTTATCAGATTTCCTCTCGCTTGATCATAAAAACAACCTCTAACAAAGATATAATCATATGCCTCTGTTTCTGCCTTAATATACAACATCAAACAATTCTTTTGACGCCGTGTACCTTGAGCAGCACATCAGAGGTAGGTCTGTCCTGGGCGATCTTTTGCAAACAGGAGTCCACAAAATTGCGGAAATAATCTGACCTGAAAATCATTTTAAAAAATGTTATTATAAAAGCACAAGACGTTCCGATACATGAAAGCAGCTTGTAAGTGTCGTTCCAACTGCAGCAGAGATCCATGAATTCAGGTGGTTTAATTTCTAATATTTTAAATTAGTTTTTAATATTAAAATATGCATTTTTTGTAGTTTACAGGATATCACAAAGCATTGCACTTAAAGGATTATTTCAGTATTTTTAAACCTGGGCTCTATTTTCACATATTTTAGTGTGAAAATGATTAGCAGGTACAAAAAGTTTTAGAATCTGTGCAGTAGAGATGGCTTCAGCCGGAAGCTGTGAACCTGCAACATTTTCCTTTGGCATTGTGTCAAAATTACATCCACAAAAAGTGCTTTTTCTGCCACAGACAGGCTCATATGGTTATATGAGGGGAGTTGTTGTGTTGGAGGAACGTAGGGCTGAACAATGAATCGTTTTCAAACCGAAATTGCGATTTGAAAGAACGCAATTAGCTAATGGTGAAGACTGTGATTAAATGTAGGTTAATTAAACAGCGCATCTGACCCGTTTTAAACAGTCATGCAGTTGCAAATTCTTTTCGTTGTTGTCCTAGTGTGACAGATCTGCTCACGACATGCTCCTCCAGTTACAGTCCTACTCACCAATCAGAGCGGGCACAGGGCGTGTACATTTTACAACAACAAATAAAACTGGAGGAAAATGTGGGATAATGGCTTCAGGAGAACAGACACAGGCAGCGGCTGTTTTGTTCGGCGCCAACTCACACTGAAGTGTTTCAGCAGTGGAGCACTTAGCCTGCCCTACATTGTTGATGTTTTGTTAATTTGTCTTTTTATTTTTGTGTGCTTCAACTACAGAGAACAGCTTTCTGTGAGCACGTTCCGTTCTGCTCTCTGCGGGCTAACGTTACATATACCTGCGTTTATTGTTGATGTACGATTGGGAGTCTGCACAGGGTGTTTTATTTTGAAAATTGACTGGATTCTCTATGACGTTGTGTGTCTGGTTCATCTGCTCTTTGCTGGCGGCTTCAGTCAAAAACAGACTGGCAGTGAATATTGACTTTAAAAAAAATAAAAATTAAATTAAATTAAAAAATCGAATCGTAATCCCAATATCTGGCAGAAAAATCGCAATTAGATTTTCCCCCCAAATCGTTCATCCCCAGAGTAAGGTTAGGAAATAAAGTTCACTGCAAAAACTCTACTCTCAGAAGATTTCAGAGCGAGACTTCTGTTTCTTGTTAAAAACAAAGGGTGACATCAGGAGAAATTCATAGGGATCCTTTCCATGATGTTGTCAGACAACTCGTATGGCAGTCTGAGCCTGTCGGTGGCAAAAAGAAGCCGCCACTTGTCAGCTGCCAGGCCAAACCCTGCACGGATTTGAAAACTTTTTGTACCTAAAAGTCACTTTGACACCAAAATAAGAGAAAATAAAAAAATATCGAAATTATCCTTTAAGAATCTTTAAAATTGGCCCATTCTGACAGAATCCTGTGGCAAAACAGTAACGTCACACAGGAAGTGATAAAATCAACGTTGTTACTATTCGCCATGTGCTTCTAGATTAACTGATCTGCAAGCAAGTCAGGAAAGTTTGTATATTGTTTAATGTAAACTATCTGCAACAGACTGAAGATGCAAATTCTGACCTCTTCTCACCAGACGGTGCCAAATTAATCTAATTTCAACATTTTTAACAGCCCTTTGTCAGCAATGGTTTTATCAGTCAAATTAATCTGACACACCTTGTAAACTTCCTGTTAATGGTGTGTAAAACCATAAATTTAATAAATCCTTTGAAAAACATGATGTTGAAATAACATTAGAAGCTCTTTTATAAAAGCAACATTTATAACATAATTTCAAGCAACATAAAATCAAACTCATGGTGCAACAAAAGTCTTATGCCTAAAAGGACATAGACTGGTTAGGAAGTTTCACCGACTCTCACCAGTGATTAGACTGCAACACAGGGCTCTCATTCTGGGCGATGTGGTATAAGGCACTCATAGCATTCATGTTGAACAGAGGAGGCTTCCTTTCCGCTAGAGAGTGACAATGCACGACATAGCGTGACAGAGAGTGGCAGAAAAAGAGCAAGAACACAATAAAATAAAAAAAAAGAAGAGAGGAGAAAGCAAAGAAAAAGGTTGGATGCTTTCAGCTTTGTGAACACACACACAAAAAGAAAAACACTCTTGCAGAACATTTTACGGCCATCTCTTACCCAGCTCTATGCAGGTAATGCCAAGTGACCATACATCCACCTTCCCGTCGTACTGACCCTCGTCCATGGCCAGGATCACCTCAGGGGCCATCCTGCATTGGGGACACAACAAAGCAGCTCAGCAACTTCCAGCTCTTTTCTCTTTGATCCTGGACCAACACAGAACACCACCTCAGGGCTCACTGTCATCCCCCAATATCTATATTGTTGAATTGCAAATAAAATTGAAGCTACCTGCACGACTAGTTACATTCATGGGTAATAGGAGAAAAGTGTTTATTTGTGTGAGTGGGGGAAAAGGTAATAACTAAAGAAGTAGTATTCTCTCTAAAGTAAAAGTAATGAGATTTGAATATCAAAATATGAGAAAATAAAACATTTGTGCATACATTCATCAAACTTTGTTTTCATTTTACTTTTACATGTTATAATTAAGAGTAAGATTTATGATATCAAACCCCATGTTTGATCACATTATGTTTTTTTCCCTTCTAATTCTAATACAGCATCACCGTGTCAGTTTAATAGAAAGAGTAGAGGAGGTGTACTGAGCTTGATACCTTCCCAAGCCTAGTTACCACACTTACTAGAACTGTCTATAAATCAACCAGGTCCGGACTCTTAAGGATTACAACTTTAAAAGTGGCTTTCAAGTATATTAAATTACATGGACATACATGGTGGAGCTTAAGAATAAAATTTTTTATAAGCCGGGAACGTTTTGTTTTAGTAAAAGCCTGTTTGGCAAAGAGCAAGGTGAGAGCTTGTCTGGATCATAATTTGGTGTAATTCTTATGAATTCCCCGAGAAGTAACTGTTCTCAAACCATCATCTATGGTGAGGAGGTCACTGTTGACACAGTCTGACATCTCACCAGTAAGGTGTTCCCACGAAGGAGTTGGCTGGGGCGACGATGGAGGCAGAGCCGAAGTCTCCCAGTTTGACCTGGCCCGGCTCTGTAAGCAAGATGTTTCCTGCCTTCACGTCCCTGAGAGAGAGAGAAATGATCAGATAAGAGAAAATGACTGGTCAGGGAAATTGTGAGGAAGACAAAACACACATAGACGTGTGAGAGAGAAAATTTATTATTAGAGCCCGGAGAGAAGTACAAGATCGTGTTGTTGCATAGTGTGTGAGCACATACACCGTTGCATAAGCTTATCTTAGGCTGCGCAGTTTGTGCTTTCTCCCCTGTATTTGTTTCGTCTCTTGTCAGAAGTGTGGGCGAGGAGAGCAGAATAGATGCAGAGAGTGAGAAAAGGAACAGGGGTTACCTGTGAATCATGTTGTGAGAGTGAAGATACACCAATCCCTGCAATGCACCATGGGTTATGGCAGCTATTTCCACTTCCTGGAGGGGTTTCTTGTGGACTGGGAGAAGAGCAATATTAGGGGATATCAGGCATTGTTGACGTGAACAAACATTAACTCGTTAGCGTTTAATTACTCATTTGTTTCTTTTCTACTTACCTTCTAAGAGGTCAGAAGCTGAGCCCAAGCAGTACTCCATCACCAGCTAGGAGAGGGACACGGAGAGAGTTAAACTGCATGCTATTTTATGAAGACTAACCCAGGAGAACACTTGACATTAAGGACTTTTTCCACACTTGAGAGTTCAGTAATGTTATTAAAGTCGAGCGTCTCCTAAAGTCTGCTTCAGATGAAAGTGATTAACGTGGCTAACAAATGTGTCACATTAGCGCTGTCTGTCATTATGTACAGTAAGAATACAACACTGTACTCCTGTAATCCTCTTACAAACAATTAGTACAGCAGATAATTGCAATTGTTTTATCTTTTAGGGTGTTTCCACAGCAGCAACCGTTTCAGGGGGCCAAGAACTTTCAGGAACTGTGGAACAAAAGCCCCGTTTCTGCCGGAGGAACCAGGGTCCAAATTTGGTTCCAGTACGATAGTTTCAGGTTCTGTTTGTTCAGGAAATTTCAAGGCCGAGTTTGCAGGGCTGACTGTCAGCAACTTGGTTAGCACTTCAGAGATAAATAAGTAAGTACTGGGTTCCACCTGTATCAGTATTAGTACGAGGGGTCTACATTTCTTGTTTTATAAAATAACCTATTACTGTGGAGACAGACGTTCTTGAGTATTCAGTTTCCTTTTTTACTCAAACATCTGAGACATTAAACAATAAATACAAAGATCATCATAATGACTATGTTTCCTCATATGTAAAAATTGTGCTTCAAATGCCGCCATCGTTTTTTAACCCATCATCTGCTGCCTAAACGTCACGATTCTTCAAATGCAGTGGAAGTGCAAACAGGAATACCTGAACTTTTCGGACGAAAAGGTCTATTAGCGGTGCGAATGTTTGCACTGAAAAAGCATACTGGATGAAAGTCTACACTGACATGTAGCTGTTTAAAAGGGGCTGCAGAATTATGACATTTTCATCTTTGTTTTGTGTGCTTTACATGGTGCTGCTTACAGAACTGCTGTGGATTTGTACCGCACGTTAACTTTACGGTCATTGATTTGGATCTAGTCCACATTAAAACATTTTAGCACACAATAATAACATTTGTAATTTGAACCAGGTCTAAAAACACCCTAAGTGCACACACTCACCCATGCTGTGTGCTCTCTCAGGTAGCAGCCACGGTACTCAACAGTGTTGGGGTGGCGCAGCTTCTGGAGAAACTTCACTTCCTTCACTATATCCTGCCATTTCTGGAAAATAAACCAAGACACTCAATGATGGGCACAGCCGACTGATAACCTGATATCTCGTCTGCGATAGATGAAGGATTAAAGAGTTTCCAGGTCTTACCTCATTGGCCTGTTTGCCACTATAGGACATCTTCTTGATGGCCACCACCTCATTGGTGCGGATGTCATGGGCCTAATGTGTTAAGGTTCGGGATAAACAAACGATAAATTACTTCTTAGTCTTTTTTACACAACAGCCAACAAAGAAATCCCTATTACATAAAACAAGTATTTCTGCTGAGCCTCCTTCTTCTCTTCTGCCCTCTCCCGTCGATCCCTTCATCCATGACTAGCTCCTTTTCACCCTTCATTAAACAGGCCTTTTCATCCACCACTTGCGAGCTGTCCTTTGTCCTTGACTCGCACCATGCTTTTACCTTTTTCTTCTCTTACTGACATTACCGTCATCACCACCTTCCCTCCTGTCTGACAGACACCATCTCTGACCCACAGCATCCCTCAAGGAAATCAATACTACAAAATTCTTACATCTCTAACAAGTGAGAGTCAAAGAAAATCTTTCCTTTATCTCACAGCAGACCACATTCAAACACTCGCTGTGTGAGTGTATGTGACTAAAAAAAAAACAACCTTTACACACCAGAATTCAAGAACAGATATTTTATATTTTACACATATATTTGTATCAGCAAAGTATTATAAGTAACCTAACTGAGAAATAATTACTAGCAAGTGTTTTTAATATATCAAATGAATATTGAAGTTAAATATTATTCTAATTAATACAGCTCAAATTTTAACTTTAGTTATTTATTAAATCGATATCATTAGACCAGTGGACAGAGACAAAAACTATTTAGACCGGTGTATTGACAAAAAATGTATAATTAAGGGCTCTGCCACTGCTGCGCCAATGTCCCATTACTTTCACAGATCCAAACACCAAGTAAAGTAACTTACAAAGTAGACCGCTCCGAAGCTGCCATGGCCGATCTCCCTCAGGTCTGTGAAGAGCTTCTCGGGATCCTCCCTGAAGAACAGCTCAGCCACCTCCGGGTCCTTCAGGCTCCCGGCCCGCACACTCGACGGCATGGCCAGCGCCTGGTGAGCGTGGAAGAGACACACTGGGTAAGCGTCTGTTATTTGGAAGGATTGCCAACATTTGTGTTGGAAACATGAACCGCTGAGGAAATACTGTCAGTGACTTCTCTGGGCATTTTAGATTATTAATTGCATCTATGTTTATATTTAGGTATTGTACATGTCTGTTTCGCCTTTGTTAAATTAAATTCATTTAAGAATTTGCTTTTCCATTCTACAGGCTCGAGTCACTTTGGTACACGTGTAAAAAGTGTATCTTGCTCTAGATCAGCATTTAAACTGTCTAAGATTACAAAACCTGTCTGCATGTGTGTTGATAGTGTGCATCAGCTTGGAATGACCATCCACCCATCTGTCTATCTACCAGAATATAAGGCAGAAAAATATTGGCAAAACCTAACATGGCTGTATTTTTACACTGCATACATATTGCATAAAATATTTAAAAGTAGTGAATTACCATAATGTCACCAGATATGGTATTATGAAACTTTTAGCTTCTCTAGATCCAACTGAAAATCAGGAAGAAATGACTACCTGTTAATGCACCACATAACCCAAAATATCTCAAAATGGCAGACGCAACATTTCTTACCACCAGCAATTATTTTTTATAATGTTTTCTTTAATCTTCTCCACTCGGGATTCATAAATCCACACAAAGAGCGTTATATTTTATATTGAGATCATGGTCATGAGGAGAATCCAGCACCAAATGGATTTACAGTACAGAATATAGCCCGACGATACTGGATTTCATTTTACAGTATCAACTTGGCCAATGTCTCAGTATAGCTCTCTAGTACAGAAAGACATCTCTCTGAAAAGCAGCAGGCCAAATTTTACAAGACACTGTGAAAGTAAATTGCCAGCTAGATTAGCTAGGCCCATGATTTGCCTGCTTTGTAGGAGCAACATGACCACAAGTTTTACCTGAGCTTTTAAAGCACCAGAACCTGTAACTACTCTGAGATTGAGATCTGTCTTAAAAGGTCATCAGAGGTTTCCTGACCAATTATGGAAATATAGCCATGCTCACAATAGGATAGGAAAAATATGTGGCTATTGGAAAACCCAGATTAGAGGCTGAAACTGATCACTGAGTTGATCAGTTTAGTATGTCCTATAGTGTCACTACATTCCCTAAGACACTAGAGATTTGTCATATATGGGTGTCTGTCAGCTTAGCAGAAAACATTCAAAATAGCTTATTTACACTAATTTGTTTTCAAAGTTGTTGGCAATTTGCATTAAAATTCCTAATGAATTACATGATCAAAATGATTAGGGATTGATAAATTACTGCAATGGGATAACCATACTAGATGTGTGCAGTGCTCCTACAGAAGGGTTACATGAAACTACATAATTTTACTTAGAGTCACAGACTATGTAAACTCAACTTCATATTATTTTTAAGGCTACAGCTGCAGAAAATAAATACACGTTACACTGGTTCAGTGTTTGTGACACAGAGTCAGAATATAATAGATAAAATTGTACATATTTTATGCTTAAAGGTGTAGCTGTATGTGCAGACAGCAACTGATCATTGTGTGATAAACTGTCTGGCAAGTTAATGGCCTGGCACTGGGTACATCATGAGATATTAGGATGTGGTTAAAGGTTAATGTGGAAATGTAACACATGCTCCATATTCTTTAAGTGGTCAGTAACACAACTAGGACTTCATGTCAGGATTCCCAAACACTTCAAAATGAACATGCATCTGACAAAACATTTCTTTCATGGCCATTTCGCGAGTGTTAAAGAGGAAGCATACTGTTCCCTTTGAAAATGAGAAGTTCCTTAAATCTTGCAATGAAGTCTATAGAAAGCTCTGAATCTAGCCTCTTCTTTTTTAAGAACCCATCCAATGTCATACTCATTACAGAAAAGGCAACAAATGCTTCAATTATTTGGTTTCAATTAAGAGTATCTCTCAAACCTACATGCAATTTAACAACCTTGGAGCACCCTGGGCACATTTTGGAAAACAAAACACATATTGTCCTTGGCTGCTGAGACAGTGAAGTAATTATCTAGACAGTTGCTTGCTGTCAGTATTCTGCACGGCGTGTGCATCTCAGCTGAGCAAGCTAGATGGCTTTTGCACTTCACTGGTCAATTAGGCTATCTTTGCTCTTGCTCACCAAAGATGTACGACATGTATTCAACAGCACACAACAACAACTCCAGGATGGCTGTGTGTTCAGGCTGCAGGCCAACAACAAGCTTGCCTGTCAATGTCAACGTGTCCAGGGTCTGAAAATTAGGTGGTTAATGATGCTAGCTGCTCCTTTCCGTGCAAACAGGAGAGAGAGGTGCATTCAGCTGCTTTAGCATGCTGAATGATTTATAACATGTCTTACCGTGGCTTTTGGGATCCACTGTAGCTAGCTCTGGAGCTAGCTAACCGGCCTGGCTGGAAAATATTGGTCTCACTCCCCTTTCCTCGGCACTGGTGTCTATTCAACACGAACAAACCACATTCTGTCTGCCGATGCTTTTACCCAAACCCCTCTCCATCCTGATGCTCCCAGTCAATTGGACAGCTAGCACGTCTGCACGACTTGACATGGGGACAGTGCCAGTCAATTAAAGTGACAGCTAGCTGACTGACGCCTGCCAGCTAGTAGCAGAGCTGTCTTCCAAAGAAAATCAGAGGCTAGCTCTAGCTGCTGTTAGCAACACTGCTAACTATATAACGTAACGCCAGGAGCTACCCAGGACGTTTTCAATGGGAAACGGAGTCATTAATTTCCACGGGTCCGCTCCGTGCTCCACGTTGTGCTGTCATTACGTTAGTGTTGTCGGCGGATTTAATCTCCAGTTCGTGTTATCCCCATTTTTGCTCGACTCTCATCCGTTTTTGTTCAGGACTTCATGATGGCGGCGCGGGGCGGGAGCCGAAAGGAAAGCGGAAGCGCTCTTCTTCGACGCTTTAGAAAGCAGGCACACGAGCTGCACCGCTGCCTTCGTGTGGCCGAAGAGGTTCGCCAAAACAGCAACACGCTAAGTTAAAATAAACAATTAGGTTAGCTATATTAACAGCTATCCCGCGACCCTGTACGCAGGATAAGCGGTTGACGATAGATGGATTGATGGATATTAACAGCTACGGTAAACAAACAGCTAGGAATATACAATTTGACATAAAGCTGTCCATCTGTTACTAGTGAGCAGTCAGTATGTCAAATTGGGATATTCAGTGAGGGGGAATCAAAGTAAAAACAGTTGTGGAAGACTGATGATTGATTGATGGATTATTACATGAGTAAAAGTAGTAGACTAATACCACAATGTAAATACTCAACTAGAGGTAAAAGTCCAGCATTCAAAGTGTCACTCAAGTAGAAGTAGAAAACTCATCTCCTCCGAGAACACTTCCTCTTATAATACCTCTAACCCCTAACCTCTAACTTGCACTTCCTCTGCTCTTCTTCTTCTGTCTCCTTACAATTCTCTTGTTATGATTGCATTATTTGTTAACTCTTACTTCTTCCCTTAAGTATTTACCCCTATTGATGCCATACTCACTAATAGCTCTTACTAGAATTTATTGCTGCTCTTACTAGTAGCCTATCTGTTGTCACTGTATTGATGCTTGTATGTTGTTCCTCAATTGTAAGGCTGTCTGGATAAAAGTGTCTGCCAAAAATTGGCCCCTGTGAGAGTTGTCGTATTATGTATTATATTATTGGTGGGCTAAATGTTTTGTTGAGAGTCAGATTGCACTGGTTAAGATGCAATGAAAGTTTTAGGAATAATTTACAATTGTCTGATAGCCACATTTAGTACTGATGAGTTTCTTCCCACAAGCCATCACTCTGATGAACAGCTGATTTCTGACTCACAGTGTCAGGAACAATTCCTGTGCAATAACCCAGTAACTCTTTCTCTAATCAGCCACCTGTTTACTGGTTACCTCTTATTATTTATTCACCATTCTCTATTTCAGTGCTGTTCACACTGTTATATTGTATGTACTGTATACCAATCCACCTACCATCAAGTCATAACTCCTGCACAAAATACTTATACTTGTTTATTCCAGCATCCTTTGAACTATGCTTTATTGCACTGTGTACATATGTAGATGTATGCATGTATATGTACCTGTATATCACATCCACCTCCGACATGTACATACTCCTGCATCCTTTGCACTCTGCTCACTGCACTATTTGTCAATATGTCTATATTGTTTTTGTCCATAGTGTGTATATTTGTGTTGTCTACACTGAAGTCTGTGTCGGATTTTATTTTATTTTATTATTGTGATATTGGATTTTTGTATGAGTTAGCACATCATGAGCAATGTACAATACTGAGTCAAATTCCTCGTATGTGTACACATACCTGGCAATAAAGCTGATTAGTGGTGGAGAATATGGACAAACTATTCTGTCATATTATATGTAATCTAAGTTGCAATATCAATATGTATGTGTGATTTAATACATTTCTTGGAAAAGCAATTGAGAAACTATTTATAGACAATAAAACCAGATAGGAATTCTTGTTTTTGTCCAAACAGTGAAAATGAAATACCTAACAAATCAAGGTACTTCATAACATTGGTGCAAAATCATATAAATCAGTCATGCTTAATTATTTGCAACACTGCCCGCAATGGTCTAATGCAAACAGAGATATTGAAAGGAGCAGCATGGCAAAAAAATCTTTGGTGTATATATATTTTTTGATTTGCCTAACAGTAATAACTAATACAGTCCATGTAACTGAATGTCTACAGAAATATGTATGTACACCCTACTGAAGCATAGAGCAAGATGCCTAAACCTTTCCATCTCCAGAGCTGCTGCTCTGTGTTTCTATATGAAGGTGAACAGAAGAAGCATTTCTTGAGTAAAAAACTAAATGACCCACATAATGATAAATGTTTTAATAATGTCATCACACAAAGGGATTTCTGTCTGTCCACTAAATATCATCATATCATCCATTTTAACAGTGACCAATGTTCGTGATGACATCTTATTATGTAATCCATGCTGAGAAATACAAATCCATCCATGTGGACACGCATCATATTAACAAACATGATGAAAAGGGTTCAAGGCTCCAAAAATAATCAGGAAAGAGAAAAATACCAATAAAAATAACCAACAGAATAAATGAATAACACTTTTAAAGTCGCATATAGCAATGTGCAAAACCAAAGAGATCCCTGAGGGCCTCTGTAAAATATTTATTCATATATTTATTCATTTTTTCAAATTACAATTCTGATTTACTAACATTTCTCTGAATAAAGAGACACACACACACACACACACACACACACACACACACACACACACCCCTCCGGAGTTCTGCTTTGGTGTCTGGACTCTGGACAAGGAAGGGAGGTACTTGTGAGCATTAATTTGGATATAAAAGGGCTTCCTCACAGACAGCTTGTGCCATTTATTACTTTCCATGTGTCAAGTAAATATATCCATAATCCTTCTTCTGTCATTGCTTATTGTGATTTTTTTCCAAATGCCTTTTAATGTTTTTTTTTAAATGCCTTATCTTGTGAAGGGATTCGCGCGCGCACACACACACACACATACGCGTCATCACAATCACACATATGGCTTGTTTGGCCCAGCTTTTGCTCTCATAATCCACTCAGTATAATCTGTGTGTTGTGCACTTCGATAGCTGACACACCACATACACGCAAAACACACAGTTTTCCCTCTGTATCATTCAATATTATCATCCTGGTTGCTGCTTAAATCATCAGGCTGTAAACCGTAAGAAATGACAAGCTGCTGCTGATACTCTGTGCAGTTTTGTACAACATGTTTGTTCAAGTTATTCAATAGGGCTGACTGTTGAGGGGTCAAACGTTTGACCTCCAGTTACGGGAGATGTTTTCTAACTAGCAGCTGTGCTTTCATCAAGCATCTTTATCCTTTTGCTAATCCAAATTTAACCCTCTAGCTGTTAGACACTCTGTAATTTATTTCATTCCCAAAAATAAAGCCTGTGCAGCCTTAACCTTCTACCGCCCAGAGAAAAACTCCCGCTGCATAGTCCAGCGGATTATGCTTCTTATGTGAACAGATTTTTGATGAATTTACATAACAGGGCAGCAGGCAGAGGGGGAAAGGTCTGCGCAGAGGACACACACAACATCAAGACCCGGTGTTGCATGAGTGTTTCAGCTCAGACAGTTAATTCAGACCACAACATTTATATCCTCGCTGTAGGAAGGGAAGATTGACCCAGAGGCTTTAATCCCAGGCATTGTATTTCATGGAAGAAATAATCCCTTTTTTTTGTTGGTCACGAAAGTGTAACCAATACTCATGCAGATTATCACACACTTGGAAATTAGCTGTGGATGGCCTGTGGCTCTTTAATAGAACCCAAATCTGTTTTACCATCACGTCTTTAAGAACAACAAGGGTTCAAACAACAGAGGATCCAAATGAGCCTCTTTATAGTGTCACTGTTGTTTTCAACAGAAAAATTACAGCCTATAATTTGGTGTGTTCAAACAGTTTGATGGTGTAAAACCTATAATTTGTCCAGATTTAATATATTATCATTATGTATTGAAAATATAACTTTATTTGAAAACACCTATTTTTTAAACTTTTGTCTGTGTATTTGTCCAAACACTGGTCTGCATTTCTGTAGGATATATACCTCTACAAAAACAAAAAGTTACATTAAGAACAATCAAGACTATGGTTGGTCATTTTATTAAATCATTCTGGGGAGGTTTTTGCCTTTTATTAGAGAACCTGTCAGATGAAAGAGAAGGTGAGACAACTGGGAGAGGCAGAGAAATTTTAGATTGTGTAGGTGACCAATAAAAAATGTGAGCATGAAAACAAAGTCAAAACCATAAATCAATCGAAAACAAAAAAATAATCAGACAATAAGACATAATGCAACTGAGAGACACAAAATTAACTCCAATAAAAACCTGGATAACAGATTATTTATCAATGATTAATGATTTGTTGGTCAACAGAATATGAATCATCAACTCTTTTCAGCATTAACTGTTTAATCGTCATTTCTAAAGCAAAAATTTAATTTACAAAAAAACATTTGTTGGCTCCAGCTCCTCAAATTCAAAGATGTGCTGCTTTTCCCAAAATATCTTTGAAATATCTGACTAATCACAGAAATAACTGACATAGTTATCAGTAATGGAAATAATTGTGTGTAACAGTCTACAGTTATTTTATACTGTCATTACAAATACTTAAAGTGTTGGATCTGCTGTAGAACTGCATTGAATGTAATTAATTCAAAAGAACAGAAAATGCAAAGAAGCAGCTCCATCTCTGTATTGACAGTATCTTATATCTTCTGTCATTTTGTGTTCAGATGGCAGCATAATTTACAATATGATGTCAACACTCAGCTCACATATGAGCCTTTGGTTCCCCCCGTCACATAACTGACTCCTCCCCACCAACCCGGGATGCAGCCCCACCTCCCCTCATACAGCCTCATACAACCTCCCAGCATCCCGTCAGGCTGGGCAGACAGAGCTGCCACACACTGAAGAGGCAGAGCTATCCTGTTTGAGGAGGGACAAGACAGATCCTGAGAAGACCATTAAGAAACAGAAGGAAGACAGAGGGCTTCGAGCACCGCACAGGTCAGCTTACTGAGACTCTGCTTCAGGGGTCGTATGATGCTTCTGGCTGATGAAGAGAAATCTCCAGAGGAAGGTAAGCGCTTCCACCACACAATTTAAACACACGACAAAGTGTTCAGTCTCTCAGAAGGAACTTAGTCCTGACTTTCTGGCTCTGGCAAACTCCAGCCATCTCTGCATCATGTGTCAGAAATTGTACTTTTCATAGTTTCACCTCACACTCCGGTTTTCCTTTTTTACAGAAATGAGTTTCGGAGCAGCATGCATTTTCCTACGAGGAGGGAAAAATATTGTAAGTACAACAGTCCTGCTTTTGATGGGTTTGTGTTGATGTTTGCAAACTGCTATAGAAAGTTGATTGGATTATGAGCCAAAAAGTGGAGACCTGCCAGTACAGGCATAATCTACACTTTAATCCACAGTTCAATTCTCCACTGCAAAAAGATATAAAACATTTTTTAAGATTGTGTGGTAGCTCATTTTCTTTCTTTATGCTGCACATGTTGTAACAGCTGCTGTATTTTACAGTAGCTTTGTATTACAGGGCACAGTGTTTGATTTGAACATCCATACTACACTGGATCTAACTAATTGTTTTTCTCTTTGTGCAGTCAAGAGAACTGGCTGAGGATGAGATTGACGGTAAATTAAATTCTTACCTACATTTTACCTACTCATCTACATTTTTTCATATTCACATTATTTTATCAGTAAATGCAGATTAAACTAATTTCTTTGACCTACACAACCATTACAGATTGTTTATCTATCTCACAACTTGACCATTTTATACACTCTACTGGCCACAACATGTTTAATTTTGCCACACCACCTTTACTGACCACCTAGCTGATTGAGTGTTGTACTCTACGCGTCTGCAGAGCTGCGTGATGCCTTCAATGAGTTTGATAAAGACAAGGACGGGCTGATCAGCTGTAAGGACTTGGGGAATCTGATGAGGACAATGGGCTACATGCCCACTGAGATGGAGCTGATCGAGCTGAGCCAGAATATCAACATGAACCGTGAGTCCCTACTGAACAAAATATATGCAAAAGTCTGCACTATGGTGGCTCATTTGGTCCAAAATTGATACAGAATCAATTGAGAGTTGTGAGTGTTTCTCAACCCCTGCATCTTTTCTTTTGATTTTCCCTCCAGTTGGTGGGAGAGTCGACTTTGAGGACTTTGTAGAGCTGATGGCCCCGAAGCTTCTGGCAGAAACGGCTGGGATGATTGGTATGAAGGAGCTTAAAGACGCCTTTAAAGAGGTGAGAGCTTTCCTCACAAAAATGCAGCAGCTATGCAGCTTCTTCAATGCCAGATTTTTTCCCACATAAGCCCCAACTCATTCGCTGTGGCGTCATAGAGATAAACAGGGCACTGACCTTCTTCTTCTCTTGGGTCTCTGGGTAGTTCGACATGGACGGAGACGGAGAGATCACAACAGAGGAGCTGCGATTAGCCATGACTAAGCTGATGGGAGAGCACATGAGCCAAAGAGAGATCGATACCATAGTAAAAGAAGCAGATGACAATGGAGACGGCACAGTAGGCTTTGAAGGTACAGAGCTGCAGTGATATAAACATCAATAATAGCTTCACAGCACCAACAAATCCCAAATTAAAAGATTAGAGCACATGTAATCACAATGATTTCATTCCTCACTACACAGTGAACTAATGAAACTATCTCTCCTCTGCAGAGTTCGTCAGAATGATGTCCCATCAATGACAGTCGAGGAGACCGTCAGCCAAGAAAACATCTTTGCACCTCTATAGACAAGCATTAACATTGTCGCTGTCCTTTCTGTGAGGCTCTTTGACAGATAAACTTGTACATATCAAGAAGAACGCGGGATAATGTTAAAATTCAAAGAAAACTGCAAAGAAAAGTCAAGCAATATCAAGTCGCTCTCAGAGAATTTTACAACTATGCAAAGATTGACAATCATGCACTGAGACTTTTTTAATGTAAGATTATTGAAAAGAACTATATTGATTTGTTTGATGTTTATTGACAATACAGGAGGTCATTTTGAATTGTTTAATTGAACTGGATTGGGTATGTGTATGTATTGCGAATGGAACATATTTATTCTGAGTATTTATTCTGACAGTACTGGATCATTCATATCCCTGAAACAATGTAATGCACAATTAGATATAAACTTATCAAATGTTTATTATATATATTATTATGTAACAGTTATGATACTACTGTGTATAGATTATGTATGTATACAGTACTTTGCCTGGGCTTGTTGTATTGTCTAACTTGTTGGGCTAAATTGTTAATTTATGGACAGAATCCAACAAGTTAGATCTCATTAACAGATACAAAATAAAACATCCAAGTATACAAATTTTGGACAAGAGTTTTGGTTTGAATGGATGCAACATGAGTCCTGTGGGACACCTAAAAGGAAGCCAAGGACTCTGGGTGTTTATTATCCAGCAATCAGCCAGCACATATTTAACTTTTGGCTTTGTCACATATGTGATGAAAGCTTTATAATTTGGCAAATTCCACAGAAAGTAAAGAGACTTAACAATTCTGTGTGTCATGGCACTTTAGTAATTTAATCCAAAGGTTTGCCATACACAAATGTGGAACCTATTCCCAGCAGGACTTCCATAGCTGCTTGAATAATAAATCAACACAATGGTCTATGCGTTTCACACCAAAGAAGGGATTAGGGAACCAAAATCATCAGCGATGCTGCAGTTCTGAGGGTAGAAATGTTGAGGACTGAGGATAAATAGTTTTTGTGACCAAAAATGGACAGGCCACTGATTTAATAAAACATCTCAAAATTCTGACATCATGACTCACTCATAACAGATTTCTAGGTATTAAATGCATGTTGTGTGCTTGTCCCAGAGTTCATCCTTTTAGAGGGCACGGCCTGAGCCATTCTTAAATTGAATATGGCAATTCTCTGATGTAAAATGTGGGGAAGAGTTTTTGAGCATAAAAAAAAACAAAATCTGTAAGAAAAAACATTGTATGCACCACAGATTTCACATCCCATCCTGAAACAGAATTTGTGTTGCGGTTTATCTCCACTTATGTGTGTCATACTGACCTGAAGCCAGCACCTGTGTTGTGAGAGATTTTAGGGACGTGGACGGGGACATGCTGCACCCTCACAGTCACATCAGCCAGACAGATGTCATTGCATGACAAACAGACATGAACTTCAAATATGTGGACAGATGGCGCATGGTGGCTTATAATACAAATTAACAAAAGTGAAGCAGTTCTCTCTTTGAAAACACAGACCTGATAACCGAACATACATCTGTCAGCGGCACTCCGCAGATTGGATATAAGGGAAAGCTGTGCCAATATGCTTAATGAAGAAGTGTTTTCTCTTGTGTTGTAAACGACTGCTCTTTTGTGTGGGCAGCCCGTCGGGGAAGAATAAGAAAGAAAGAGTCCTTTAGGAAAGATTTACGTTGTTTCATTGTGTTTATAATGTAAATGTAATGTGTGACGTGCAGTGAGATTAAAGTGTGGGTAATTGAAGAGGGGGTCCTGTTGGACCAGAAAGGAGTAGTGCATGCAGAGAGGTCAGCCAGGGGAAGACTCAGATGATGTAATGTTTGCTGCCTGGGCCTTTGCCCTGATCCTTCCCTGATTCCTCTAGCATCCAGTGTAGACATTTATTGCATTAATCCACAATAATCTCTCTCTGGGTTGCTCTCTGACTCAATTCAGTAGCCACTCTGCCCAGAAGCTTGATGCCCTGCACTTAATGTGACCTGCCCTTTTTATCCTTTGCAGTCATCTCCCAATATTTATAACCCTCTACTTTATTAAGATAAGAGATAAGATAGACTTTATTGATCCCACACAGGGGAAATTCATATGTTATTCCAAAGGTCCTAGTGATATTTCTGCTCTGTTACTGGACCAGCAGCCCTGTGAGAGTTAATGCAGCTTATCAAAGTCCAGTCTTTTCCTGTGCACATTAATCTGTCAGTGTGTTTTATAACATTACAGCGTTACATCATTACAACAGCTACATAATGTTTGCTCCTGGTTTAAGATGTTTTTCACCAATTGAGCTAAATCCAAAGTGGCTCAGTGGGATACTGACTTTAAAAAAAAATAAAAATATTCTAGTTATTTAATTTAGTGCTTTTATAAAAATGTTTATCAGGACTAATTTAGAAAGAAGAACTGACTGTCACAGGACACATCTGTTGAGGGGATAAGGAAATGGTGTGTGTTTGCGCATCGCTTATTACAATAAAATGCTTTAATTTAATTAATAGTTTTGCAGATAATTATGAAGCAGAAGTGTATCCCAGAAAGAAAGCTCTGAGTAATTAATCTGTCTTTAAAGATCTGTCAGTAGCCACAATTATTATTTTCAGTGGTAGGCTATGTAGTATCTCAGATTAGACTGTTTTTTAAAATGCAGTTCAATGCAGTTTTCTGACCTGCTAAGCATAAAAATCGTATTGGCAAAGTCTTCATTATAGACCAGATTATGCAGATTAAGAATTTATTAATATTTTTTGTTTGACGTAATTCATCCACCATAAAGTGAAACACTGGTGACATTTGACTGGAATATAGTTATTTAAGCAGTCTTAAAACCACAAGCGTTGCCACTTTTTTACACAAGAAGTGCCCACATTGAAGTTCACTGACATTTTATCTATCCAATCAAAAGCGTTGCAGTAAGAAACTGAACCCGGAAGGAGACAATCCTCCTTCAAGTTCTCCAGTAAGTGAAGTGTCATTTGTTCAGCGACAGAGCGATAAGAGTCTTCTTAAGTGAAAGGCAAGCGAAAGTATGATAAGTTCACTCGTGCACATATTGACATGTTGATACTGTGTTTTTAAACATATTAAGTGCGCATTAGTAGCTAATGTTAGCTAACGCTGCTGGTAGCTGCACGCTTCGCAGCAGTCAGTCACACCTCATAGTAACTTTAGGTCGTGTTAGATCTAAATAAGGCAGTACAGCACTTTACTCACACAGCAACAGTTAACTAAATATCATGCTTCAGGTTCAGAAATTGATCTACCTCGTTAGATTAGATATTCGTCTAACAGTACAAAGTATGAGGTTGTGTGCATCTTTTTGCTAACTCACTGCTCAGACTGGTGATGTCTAAATGGAGGTTTTTCCTGGCCAGGTGTTTTGTGAAGTGGGATCTAGATTGAGGTGGCTGAAAGGGTTTCAGGGTGTCAAGTTTGGAAAATGGAACAAAACTGAACCACTAAACAAGAACAAGTCCATTTTTCACAAGTTGGTTTCTGTTCTTACTGTTTGAGCAGAGTGATGAATCGCTTGTTGGATTGATTGGCTCACGACTGATGGATTGGTTTGCGTCACGGGTGCCACCACTATTGAATTGTTAAGAGATTTTTTAAAGTCAATGTTTCATCTGTGAAAGTTCAGAAAACTGATAAAATCTCCCTAAAATCAAAGATATTCGATTCATAATCATATAAAACAGAAAGAAAACCTGCAGGTCCTCTCATTTTATTTAGAAGTTTAGTATACTTAGAAGTTAGTTAAATCTGTGAATTACTTAAACAGTCAATTATCAGAATATATTTCTGTAGTACACTCATTTTGCTCTTAGGTGTTAAGTTAGGAATTCATTAGCAATTCTTTTTCTTTTGTCCTTACAGGTTTCCACTGATGTTGACTGGATGTAGAAACCTTTCTGGGACATCTTTTTCACTCGCCTATAGAAGCCTTTGTACCAGGAGGAGCTTGACCTCACTAGCGCATTTCTACCCTTCTAACTCAAAAGTTGTATCCATCCCTCCATTGCTCCCTTCACTGAGTCACTGTCACAGCCTCTTGACAAGCCAGCCAGCCTCAGTCCCTCTTCACTCATCTGTCTGCTTCTCTTGCAGCCACTGCCTCTCTCATTCTGCTCACTGTTCTGCCGTGATGGAGCTGAAAGAGCTCCTGCAGGTGTTAGAGCAGCTTGCTCCTCTGTCTCTGGCAGAGTCGTGGGACAATGTTGGCCTGCTGGTTGAGCCCAGCAAACCTCGGCCTATTAAAACCATCCTGTTAACCAACGACCTTACAGATGCTGTCATGGCGGAGGCAGAGGCCATGAGCTGTGACCTCATTATCTCATATCACCCTCCGTTGTTTCGGCCAATCAAGCGTCTGGTTCAGAAAGACTGGAAGCAGCGATTGGCCATCCGGGCTGTGGAGGCCAGGATAGCGATATTCTCCCCTCACACTTCATGGGATAGTGTTAAAGGAGGAGTAAACGACTGGCTGGTCGGGGGACTTGGTAAGAGGTCGTTCTAAATGGAAGATGTGTCACACATACCTACAGACCAAATGTCCTTCTTCATGTCTTCCCTGAGTGTATTTTTCCCTCGGGTGTCTGTCCGTGACTTTCAGGTAGCGGTCAGGTGTCTGTGCTGAGTCAGGCCCTCGGCGGCGCCTCCCACCGTCACAAACTGGAATTCGCGGTCAAAAGTACAGAGGAACTAAACGCTGTTGTGGAGGAACTGAAGGCTTGTGACAGAGGAACAACACTACAACATTCAGTCAGCAGGTCCTCTACATATTTGCATAAACCAACACGTGTACAGGGATATAATTATAGTTATTATAGGGCCATTTAGGTGGTTTTGCACGTGTGGCCTTGTAACTAAGTTCTGCAGACCATTTCCAAAACAAACAACAAGATTTACATTGATTTCTTTTCATTCAAGCACCTTTTACTTTAACTTCACTCATTTCTGTATGGCTTGAAATCACCTTACAGACATCTGAAACGTTCACAGTGAATCCAGTGTTCTTTTAGTCTGCTTTTTGTCAAAGTTGTGAAAACTGTGTTTGTGCAAGATTTAGAGTATAGTTGCCTGTATTAATGAAGAAAGAGCCAATGCTACTGTATAGTCACACCATCCAGTATTGTTTATTTACATTCTGGATTTTCAAGACACTTAGCTTGTAAATGTAATGCATTTTGGGATTTGACTTTCACCTCATTGATATCAAAGCTTCCACACTCCTGACACTACTCTTATCTTCATCACCACAAGCTGGTAAAATTACTCTGACAACAAAGTAAAGGCTGAATATTATGCACTCTGATTGATTACCTATTTTCAGCAACTTTCAAGTCTGAATGGTGACTTTGATAAAAATACAGAAAAGAACAGAAATGAATGATTTATGTCAAAGAATGTGCACTTTGTAATAATATGTTTAAACATGCAAAAACTAATAGTCACTACTAAGGTCCTTTGCACTGGTGAGTAACAGTTTATTTGTGCAACAGACCAGACAGCAGTGGGATCCATGTCAGTGTAACCTGCAATGACTCAGCGCTGACCCCCAGTGTCC